ACACATATATCGATTACCTCGTAGCAGTAATTGAGGCCCACATTCCTTAATACAGGATTCAGCAAGCGGTGTTAGCCTGCTAGCGTTAGCTCACTTCAGGAGCATTGCTCCTAAAATCCTCATTTAACTCATCCGCCACAACGACTAAAGCTGGTTAATGAAGTCAAACAATGTTACAGTAACACTCAAATGAAACCCAACACCCCAGAGCTCTCCGGCGGTAACACCATCGAGCTTGTTGTGATGTTGACCACCATTAGCAGAGCCGCGGCGCTAGCTATCGACGCCGTAAACAGCGGAGCCAGGAGCAAAGTTAAAGCTACACAGAGGCCACACAGTTACAATGCAACGACACTGTTACACCGGCGGCGAGAAGGAACCGCACAGTTGATGCATGTTTACAAATTGCCGTGTTTAAATTGCAACATTTGCGGGCAGCTCACCTCCATTTTGCAGATGTCCGCGGGAGCAGCAGATCTGAGTGGATCACGTGACGAGGACATGGTCTGGTTGTCAGTCGATTACAACCATTGACAGCTTATATTAGATTGTAACACACGTTTATTAATGATCATACATACTTATATGTCTATGTCTGTGTGTCTTCTGAGAGTATAAGTTGTTTTAGTACACGGTGTCCCCTGTTTTTGCTGTCTGGTTTAATGCAATGAAAAAGATTAAGATAATTTGCGCCATCTACTGGTTAAAGAGAGATTATGACATAGTAGAACAATTAATCCTCATTCAACCCACTGGTTTTGTTTGGGTAGACCTCGGTCCATAATTACATTGAATTTGAATGAGATCTACTGTAGTGCAACATGAATACAAACAGAAGCCATACTTATAATGTAGTAATGGCCCTACTAAAGGCCTGAAGTAGCCTAACCTACAATTTGGAGAACCTCAATGTTTAATAGTTGAGACTGTTGGGTGAGGATTCAAATACATGGCCTTGTGATTTGTTCCTGTGTTGGTATACATTTTGGGTAATTGTAATTGAAGAACAGCAGCTGTAACTGGATGTTTCCTAAGAAAGGTGCATAAATACAAAAGAGTACTTGTGCAACTGAGCCTAATTCAATCTGAATGATCTAAAGAATAGGATTTAAAATTTGAATGTCTTAGGCCATAGCTGGAGAGCAAAATTGGCTAAAGCATAAAAGTAAGGTCTTATTTAGCATTTAAACAGATTTATTTGGATGTATAAATTATTATTTAAGGCTGCCGTGTCTTACTAAATAACAGCATGTCTTGCTAGCCTGACTAAAACAAGTGCTCTTGCTATATGGTTTAGTTAACCTGTTTAGGAGCATTAGAGCAAAACATTTGCTGTGTGTATGTACAGTGGGGCCTCAAAGTCCCCATAAAGTTTAGTGCAACCAGCGTTCCTGCACAATACCTTATTTGTGGTGATGTGATTCAATAATCCAGCCTGTAGAAATATGCATGTATGTATTGACATGTATACACTAAAGCTCTTAAGATATGGTCCGTCTACAAAACATAGCCTAAAAAAATTGCTAATAATGCAGGACTTGCCTTTTGCATTTTATTGTTGTAGATTCTCTCACAAATCTGCAATTAATCTAATTTCCTAACCCAGCTGACCTGCAGTGAGCCTGAGGGAGTTACAGAATCTGCATACGTGAAGACTCTCTAGGATTTTTTTTGCAAAGGGACCACAATGTGTATACCGTAGCAGCTGCACACCATCATCATGCACTGTGTTACCATGTTACCATGGGTGCTGCAGTAACCACATCAAGCACAAATTGAGCCATAATGGTTCTGTTTCTTAATGCAATTCTTCAAGAGTTTGACATATGCCAGTGTGATTTTTGTAATTAAACTCCTTGCCACATAACATAATCACTCAATGTAACTGACACAGCTGACAGGAGGTTTTAATAGAGCAATCATTATTAGTATTTGGGAGTGTTCAAGGTAATGCAGCTTACAGAAATAAGAGGGTAATTAGACACAAAGGACTCAAAATCACAATAAAATGTACCTCAGACAGGAAAACTGCATTAGAGGACCATAGCACTCATTGTTAACGTTCATTAAAAAGTTCATTCTGTACAGTATATTTACATAATTTAAGGCTGATATTCAAATTGTATTCAGCTGTAATTGTGGAAACATGACACACACAGTACATCTGTGTTTTCAGCAGTTCAAGTTAGATCTCTCTGACAAAGAATACTTGATTGGGCAAGTATGATCTATGAGCCAGATGCTACTGAGCCTTGTTGAAGCTGACCAGCATCTCCAAATATATGACTGTTTTATGGTTTAGACAATGTCTGTCATTAACTTTATTGTAGTGTGTGAAGAAAATACAGCCCCAATAAAAAGGGTAATGTTTTTCTGACACTATTAATGATGAGTATTTATGATCAGACCATAGTTCAAATTCAAGAGACTGTCTGTTTGGATCCTTTCATTCTACTGCAGTTACTGTATTTGATCTGTTCCTCTTATTTCCTAAATTTCCCCTACACCCAATTTACACTTTTTACAGGACATTTCTTTCTTAATTAAACCTCTAATGAGAGTGAGGAATTGGTAACATTATTTATACTTCAGTGCATACGCAGTAGACTTAGTTAGAGAACATTATTAAAAGCAGTAATACCCTATTTTGTATTATTTAATTGATCTTTTTAATGTCCTGCCATGTGTGAATAACCTTCCTCTCTAAAAAACTGATCCCGTTTTTGAAGACAGTGATGGCATTGCTGACAATGAAGGGCTGTATATTATCTGTATATCTGCAGTGGATGCCTGTTCAGCAATGTTACACTTCTGAAGCCTGTGTGAGCCACTGTGGGTGAAGTAGAGCAGATGGTTGGGGTATTGTCCAAATTTCATGGTAGTTTGATGCTTTTTTGAGCATTAGAGTGCATAGTGTAGTAAGGCAAAGAAAAACTATTTTCTCTAATGGGCATGATACTCCAGCTTTGGTAGCTGATATTTCCCTCCTGTATTATCATAATGTTGCACATTCGACCACTTCCTGCTGTTCCCTTGGACTGAAAACACTGATTTTAACAATATATTTTACTACACAATAGTTATGTAACAGCTATAAAGCTATATATAGCTGCTGTACACTGAATAATAAATACATTTATATTTTACATGCATAACATAGGATACTTTGCATTTCATATGCTTATGGAATGTCTTGCTACCTAACAAACTACCTAGAATTAACTCTATCTTGACAAAATGCAGCATAAAAATGCTGAATAGACATTAATGCATTCAGTAATAATAATCAGATAATGTCATAAATCGCAATAATAGTGTAATAAATCACACTGCAGTAGCCATTCTGTCTGCATTATGAATACTTTTACTTTTGATACTTTAGGTATATTTTGCTGATGTATTTATAACATTTTGAATGAAGGACTTTGACTAAATATTTCTAAATTGTGATATGGCTACTGGTCCAGAATACTTCTTCTGCCACTGTGAGTTGTAAGTCCTGTCCATTGTTAGGAAGAACGTAGTGTATGTGTGTATTTTCTGATTCCCCCTTGACTGAATATGTCCACCACTGTTTAAGATTAGGGACCGCTGTAAAAAAAAAAAAAAAAAAAAAACTACATACACTTGTAGCATAGAGAACAACTTAGCATTAACACATATGTATTTGGCTCATGGTATTCATTAATGTCAGTAAAAACTACAATGAAATATGTAACTTGCCAGTAGGTGAAGTTGTACCTTATTTTGTGTTACATGTCAGCTCATCATCATATACCAACCAGACCACAGTGAACAAATGTCCAGAAATCACCATCGCTACAGGCCTGATAAAAAAATCTCATAACTGAAAGTCTACATCTGAGATTTGCCAGGAGGAGCTGAGCTGAGTGTAGTGAGAGCAAGCAGTACAGTATCAGCCCCTCACAGATGTGGTTTGATGGATGCTCTGTGTACACCTCCTCACCCCTACCTCAGGACAACATGTTTGTTTGGTTGTTGATCACACCCCTCAGTCTTTGTAGCTAACTGCCCCCTGACACAAAGATATATAACAGGTCCCACACACTGCTACCTGCCACGGACATTTCTATTCTGTGCACTTGTGGTGGCTGCTTTGTCCTTTCATATGGCATTTCTGGAAACCAGTGAAACACGTTTTTATTTCTGATGTATCAGCTTCTGTTTTATCACTGTGGTTTGGGGTATTTATCACTGCTACGTATGCCAGTAGGCCTTCAATTAGGTCCAGCGCTTTAGAACTCATATTTAAATGCAATTAGCAGTTCATTTACATGAAATGGGGTAAAAAATTAATAAAAGTAACAGTTAATGACACCCATAAAAAAGTCTTGGTTTGCCCTGATTTATCATACAACTATTCATACAATCTCAGTCTTGATTGTAATTTTTTCTGTGACAAATGAGTGATATAACGACCCCCTGAAATAGAGGGGGATGACATCCTGGTGTGGACTAAAAGGCAGCACTTAGAACCACGATTAAATAATTAATACAGGTTTTATACCCATTTTACACCTCCAAATTATGGTTTGCCATATATCTGAGACGCAGCGGCCGAAGAGTACCATGTCAGCAAAAATTTCATGTACAGTAAATCTTTGTGAGGGAAGAGCCAGTGGCTGCAAATCATTTGTGAGGTGAGGGATGACATGAATATAACCTTTCCCCCTTTTATTCTTATCAGGTGGCAAGGGTACAGAAACACACACACGCACACCCACACACGCACATATAAACACAAACTTATCACATTGTATAGTCTTTTGACCTTTGTATCTCTTTAATTTAATTGTATAAATAGAATTGCTGCTCTGATGGGTGTATTTCAGCACAAAGAGGAGGTGATCCAACAGTAGGTGGCACCATATCATGATGCTGCTATAGTGTAAGGATCAGACATAAAATAACTGCTAAGCCTGCAGGGTTTCCTTTCCACTAAATCCACCTAATCCACCCTGACTAACACAAACATGACCCTTTCCTGGGTTCACTGAACTAACATATAACCAAACACAAGCCTTGCAATTTGCACAAAGCAAATAACTACACTAACAAGGTATGCCCTCAAATAATGGCCATATTGTGGCTGATTCGCCTTCCATTTTCTGCTTCCTCTAGATGGCACTATGGTCCATGAAAAGATGGGCCTTTTATTTTCAAATCACATCACCTTGTAAATGTCAAACAATATTCCTCGATATTAAATTATTATTTTCCCCTTGTGTCACATGTCTGGCTGCTTGATTATCTGCAATCATCTCAATACCTTAATTATATTTGTTTCTATTTGTTTCCTTAATTAATGTTATATGGGGAACACATTTTTATTACTGGCCTATTAGCTGTTAAAATATACTTTATTAGGGAGGCTGCTGAAAAATTATTGATTAATTTAAAGCCTTCATTTGTAACTTTTAGAATATTTGCAGGAGATAATAATTTATTGCAACTAGTTTGATTTCCTTTTTTAGCATCACAA